TTTGGCGGCCGTGCAGCAGGGTCCCCATGGAACACACAGGAAGCACCAGGATGTCGAGTCTGCTACTCAAAGAGGGGCCTGGCACCCGCAACCTTGGCATCAACCGGAAGTCCGTCAAGAAATGCAGGTTCTCAGCGTTCCAGCCCCAGTCCTAACTGAATCAGCATTCTGTCTGCTCGCCGCTCCCCGGCAGGCAACACGATGACCTCAGCCTCAGATTTAAATTTTGATTTGAATTGATTATTTAACGCTTTATACTTTTTGGTATAACCAGGCCTACTTTGTTAATAGGTGAAAGATCTTGTAGAACATCATGTCTACATAATCAGAAGTAATGTATGTCGTAATCGTGTTTACCTTTCCCCCTACGACCAAATTAGGTGTAACAAATATATAATGTTGCTTCTATTATGGTTCAGAGAGATTAACTCTAAGGAGATGGACTCCTTAGAACTTACCAAGTTCTCTTTAGAACTTACCAGTAAGTTCTTTAACTTTAAGAGAGTTCAAAAATTCACGTTGATCCTGATTTTCTAAAATCATTTTTATTATCCATGAGGTCTTGTAAAGCACATGGTGCTACCACCAAGCCGATATTATGAAACCTTTTTACATGTGTTTTTTCTGCCATTAGTTAACAGCAAGAAAAAGGAATTATTAAAACAGACAAAGTCATTTGCAGGCTGGTGTTATCCAACTAAATGAAGCTAAAGCTCTTGTGGATGAACTGACAGGAAAAGCTGGAGAACAAAGTATATTACTTAAAACTAAGCAAAGATGAAGCAGATGCTGCCCTTCAAGAGATTACTGTATCAATATGCAGATGCTAGTGAGAAAAAACAGAACTGAAAAGACTAAAGCACAGAATAGCAGAAGTTGTTTAAAATGAAGAAAGAAAATAAAATTGATGAAATGAATTTAAAAAAGTACAGCCTCTAGTTCCATGAAGCTAACTAGCAGTTGGAAACATCAGCAGAATCTCTTGTTCAAGAAATTCGCTCATCTAGCATGCCACCTAATATAATGGAGAGACATTCTTGAAGGAGTTTCTGAAGTTCTTGGAAGAACTTAGAGGACCTTACTCCTTAGAGTTATGGACTCCTTAGAACTTACCAGTAAGAAACATAAATTTAGCTATATTTAAAAATATTTATTGTGATGATTTCTAAGCGTTATAATGAAGAAAAGTCTTTGAACACTCATATTTTGCTACTTGAATTTCAGTTTAGCCTATATGTCATCTTAGCAACGTCCATGGTCTTCTGAGAGATCTAAAATCACAGCCTATGGAAAGGAGTTTTACTGGCCAAGAATAAGGATCCTAATATTGAGCTTCACAGTTGCTCTTAAAAACCAAAACTTGAGGAAAATAATCTTTTCAAATTTCCTATTGTCTATAGCAATTTATATTTCAAGAGTAATAGTTTTTGAAGTCTACACAGAATTATTCTATTTCTTATTTATTCATATCCGTATAAAGTCTCTCATTAAAAAGCTTTACCTTAAGCATGTGTGTGTCAAAAAGGATTGGCAGATCAGAATAACTAAAAGTCAATTGATGTATTTACAGTGAACTGGATATTTCATAGAAATATAGTAATTCAGAGGGTACTTTTCCAAATCAGTGGGTAAATGTCCAGCTATTTAATAGGAATGACTCAAAATATTAAACCAAATGTTTGATTTTGGAGGATCACTTGAGGTCAGGAGTTTGAGACCGGCCTGAGCAAAGCGGGACTCTTCCTACAAAAAATAGGAAATCAGCCAAGTGTGGTGGCACACGCTATAGTCCCAGCTACTCAGGAGGCTGAGGCAGGAGGATCTCTTGAGCCCAGGAGTTGAGTTTACAGTGAGCTATGATGACTATAATGACGCCACTGTCCTCTAGCCTGGGCAACAGAGCAAGGCTGTATCTCAAAAAAAACAAAACAACAACAACAAAGGTTACACCTCTTAGACCTCTTCTGTTACTGCTTTTCAATTGAAAATTATTTAATTTATGTTGTTTAAATGAGCTTTTGAAAACCATGATGTTCACAACAAAGGATAATACCTTTGACCAAAAGGATGTATAAGAACAGATTCCAACTTGAATTTTAAATTTGAAGCTTTTGCCCAAACTTACATTTCCATTAAAAATGCATAAATAGGCCAGGTGTAGTGGCTCACACCTGTAATCCTAGCATTTCAGGAGGCCCAGGTGGGAGGATCGCTTGAGGCCAGGAGTTTGCGACCAGTCTGGGCAACATTACAAGACCCCGTCTCTACAAAAATAAAAAAGTAGCTGGGCATTGTGGCACCCACCTGTAGTCCCAGCTTCTTGGGAGCTGAGGCAGAAGGATCAATTGAGTCCAAGAGCTGAGGTTTCAGTGAGCTATGATGACCCCACTGTACTTTAGCCTGGGCAACAGAGTGAGATCCCTATCTCAGAAAAAAAAATAAATAAATAAAGAAAAAGGCATAAAATAAAACAAATATGGAATTTATGGGAATTATAAAAATGTTCTGACACACATACTGCAATGTAAGGAATTGAACTGACTATTCATATAACTTGAATGAATATGACATTGGAGCTTTGTTTACGAGAGGAATTAAGGAGAGTCTATGTTAAATGAGCTGAAAATAGTAGTCCTATTACATGATTAACAATATCAAGGAAGAAATTTGGGTTTGCTTTATGACTTTCACTATAACATTCTAGTCTAGAAAAGTATGACCTTCAAACCATGAGTATATTTATAGGAACTTATTGTGAGCTTGCTATTTAGCTTTAAAGGCCATTTTTATTAACATAAAATTAGATTTTTATATTCGTTTTGTCTTTTGTCTTTTTCTTTTTACTTAGCTTCCATTGAAGATTGACATCATTAACATCCAAATGAAACAGATGGCAAAAGTACTGCTATACATGCGATTGCACTATTTATAACAGAAGAAAACTACACAATTTTTTTTAAAGAAAGCTACAGAAATGTGAAAACATTCAAGGCTTCAACCAAGCAAATAGATGTTCGCTTACGTGTCAGTAATCAGAAACCTTTAAAATGGAAATTCTGCCGTTGGAAGCACGGTCCTCCCCCCCAATTAACCCCTCTGCGTCTCAGCAAGACTGTAGCACAATGCCCAGACTGGTGGTGGGTCCATGTTTTTCTCTTGAAAGTGGCATGCCAGAGCTCTCTGCTCCTTTTGTCGCAGAACTTCACCAGCCTCCTCAGCAATTGAAATCCCTCCTTTTTGAAGTTAGGCTGGCTCAGGCAGGGGAGCCATGGGTGGTCTTCCATGGGCCTGGAGAAGGCCCCTCCAAAACCCGGTAGGCGGGATCCGCCTCCCAGGTTCATGGGAGTCCGAGCCCTTCTCTTTGGCGGCCGTGCAGCCGGGTCCCCATGAACACACAGGAAGCACCAGGAGGTCAGAGTGCTGCCTACTCAAAGAAGGGGGCCTGCACCCGCAACCTTGGCATCAAACCGGAAGTCCGTCAAAATGCAGGTTCTCAGCGTTCCAGCCCCAGTCCTAACTGAATCAGCATCCTGTCTGCTCGCGCTCCGGCAGCCACGATGACTCCAGCCTCAGATTTAAATTTTGATTTGAATTGGATTATTTAACGCTTTAATCTTTTTGGTATAACCAGCCTACTTTGTAATAGGTGAAAGATCTTGTAGAACATCATGTCTACATAATCAGAAGAATGTTATGTTACATTGTGTTAACCTTAATCTAACAATTGACTCATAACTTAGGGAGTAAATCATAATATATCAAATTTGACTGCTCTATTAGGCACTTCAGAGAGATTTAACTCTAAGGGGTATGGATCCTTGGGATTTACAATGTTAAAATAAGCTCTTGATGAGTAATTAAATTAATGTCACTAACTTGTTGGTAGCCAAATTATGTTGTATTTTATGTTTCTCTGGACTTTTGTTCACATTTTATTTGGGAAACCACAGAATGTTTCTGTTGCAGTCACTGTGTTTCTCCTGTCAGTGTTGTGTACTTACTCTAAGTGCCTGCAGCTTCATAAACACCACAATGCCATAAGCCTTGTAATGAAGAGAATCATTTTACACCTAGGGAATGCATATCAAGTCAATAGAGTTTTAATCTCTTTTCTCCCTTGAAAGATATATTGCTTACAGGGTAAGCAAACAACAATTTTGGCAGCCATCAACCTTTGAAAAAAAATATTAAGGGGGAAAGTTATTTTACTATGTTATCTCTAGTACTAAAGAATCTGGTATATGTTTTTTGAAAAGCAGTATAAATTTATCTCTAGTACTAAAGAATCTGGTATATGTTTTTTGAAAAGCAGTATAAATTCTTAGAGTGGACGTTAATGTTACTCTGTATAATTTTAAAATAATATATTTCACCTTATAGGATATTTTGCAAATTATAATTGGTATTAAGTGCCTCTCATTTTTTAGTGGATATTTAGTTTTATATATAGTGTGTTTTAAGTTGGAGAGGAATATATCTTTTAGAACATATCCAACATATCCAAATTTTGCTGATCTTACTGGAACCTTCCATTTTCATTAGAGTTCAGCATGAGATTTGATGTCATGTAATGTCAATTCAAAGTCAGAGCCTACAGAGTTGAATATATTCCTGGCTAATATTAACATGAAACCATTGAATTTCTAATATTTATAAAACAAGATTGCCATCTCTGGAACAAAAAGGTTCTTCAAAAATAGACTTTCAGTACCTAAACTTTACATTTGAAATAATTTTTCTAAGATAGTGCCTTTCTATTTATGTGAAGAGAATGGCCCCAAAGGGTAACCAATTTGTTCTTTTGAGTTTATTGCTTTCTAATTTTATATTTTAAAACATGCCAATTTAGTAGTTTTTAAAATTTATTAATATTTGTTAATAAGTACTAAAAACAGCACACAATTGTGAATTAAATTGAGTAATTTTCTTTGTAGGGATAGTAAAATGTTTCCTGTTTTATTTTATCCCCTCCCCACACTTTGTTTTTTTTTTTTTTATAGTGTACCTATCATATATGTTTTAAAAATAAATATTAAACTTTGGTTGGAATGAAGAATGTCTCTTAATCCACCTATATTTCTTGAAGAAAGTGAAGAAAATAATTCAGAATTTGTGGAAACAAAACAGTTGCAACCTACTTCCATAGCTTCAGAAGATCCCCTTCAGAACTTATGCTTAGCATCTCAAGAAGTTCTTCAAAAAGCTCAGCAAAGTGGGAGATCAAAGTGTCTCAAATGTGGCAGTTCAAGAATGTTCTACTGCTATACATGTTACGTCCCAGTTGAAAATGTACCTATTGAACAGATTCCACTTGTGAAGGTTAGTAAGAAATTTAATTGTTTGAAAGTAGGAAAATAGATTTTAAAAAAATATCTCATGTATGCCTCTTCTAGTTGATAAAGTTGATAAATAATATCATTATGAAAATGAATTGTATTAATGGAAAATGTAATCCTACAGATTGCTAAATCTATTTGTTTTTCTCTATGGAAAAACAATTGGTCTGAAATGAATGGTGGTGTTTTTAATGAAATCAATTACTTTTAAATTAATGATTATAGTTTATTTATAACATAGGAAAGAGTATGGTATAAACATGAATACTAAAGAAAAAAGCTTATAGACTACCTGAAGGAGCTTTTAAAAACTGCTTCAGGTCCTTTGACCACTCCTTGAGAAAACACTATCCTATAAAACTAGGATTGCTTTTTGCTTAGGGTTTGTGACTTAGTATTATCCTATATGTGGAGACAGAACAGATTTCAGTGACCAAAACAAAAATAAAATAACATTTAAAAACTAAGATGTATTCACTGGGTTATGCTAATTACAGTGTTTGTAAGTCAGATTTAAATTTTTTTTTTTTAACTTGGAAAAGTAATGTATTTATTTTTCTTTTCTGAATTTAATTTTTATGTAAAAAATACAAAGGAATGCATAATACATTCCATGGTAAAGATTCACAGTATAATGTCAAATGAAAAAGGCCAATCAATGTATATGAAATAGGACCACAACTTTGTTTTAGAAAAGTATAAATAAACCAGGTGCAAAGACTCAGGACTTTGTCCCAGCACTTTGGGAGGCAGAGGATCACTTGAGCCCAGGAGTTCAAGGTTACAGTGACTATGATAGCACCACTGCACTCCAGCATGGTCAAAAGAGTGAGCCCCTGTCTCTAAAAATAGTATAATACACTGAAAAAAAAATACACATAAGGAAATCCACCAACATGTTAATTAGTGTTACCTGGTGGTAGGATCACTGTAGATTATTCCTTTATCTTTATTTTTCTATATTCAATTTTTTTCAAATAAGATGACCTATTTTTATAAACAGAGAAAACTACAATTTTTTTTTTAAAAGAAAGACTACAGAATGTTTGAAAACATTCAAGGCTCAACAAGCAAATTAGATGTCGCTTACGTGTCAGTAATCAGAAACCTTTAAAATGGAAATTCTGCCGTTGGAAGCACGGTCCCTCCTCCCCCAATACCACCTCTGCGTCTCAGCAAGACTGTACACCATGCCCAGACTGGTGGTGGGTCCATGTTTTTTCTCTTGAAAGTGGCATGCAGAGCTCTCTGCTCCCTTTTGTTCCAGAACTTCACCAGCCTCCTCAGCATGAAATCCCTCCTTTTGAAGTTAGGCCTGGCTCAGGCAGGGGAGCCATGGGTGGTCTTCCATGGGCCTGGAGAAGGCCCTCCAAAACCGGTTAAGGCCGGGATCCGCTCCCAGGTTCATGGGAGTCCGAGCCCCTTCTCTTGGCGGCCGTGCAGCAGGGTCCCCATGAACACACAGGAAGCACCAGGAGGTCAGAGTCTTGCTACTCAAAGAGGGGCTGGCAGCCCGCAACCTTGGCATCACCGGAAGTCCGTCAGAAATGCAGGTTCTCAGGTTCCAGCCCAGTCCTACTGAATCAGCATCTGTCTGCTCGCCCGCTCCCCCGGCAGGCAACGATGACTCAGCCTCCAGATTTAAATTTTGATTTGAATTGATTATTTACCTTTATACTTTTTGGTATTAACCAGGCCTACTTTGTATAGGTGAAAGATCTGTAGAACATCATGTCTACATAATCAAAGAAGAATGTATTACATTTGTGTTAACTTATCTAACATTGACTCATACTTTAGGAGTAAATCAAATAATATATCAAATTTGACTGCTTCTATTAGCACTTCAGAGAGATTTAACTCTAAGGAGTTATGGACTCCTTAGAACTTACCAGTTCTCCTTAGAACTTACCAGTAAGTTCTTTAACTCTAAGGAGTCCAAAAATTCAGTTGATCCTGATTTTCTAAAATCATTTTTATTAATCCATGAGTCTTGTAAAGCACATGGTGCTACACCAAGCCGATATATGACCTTTTTACATGTGTATTCTGCCATTAGTAACAGCAAGAAAAAGGAATTATTAAAAAGACAAAGTCATTTGCAGGCTGGTGTATCCAAACTAAATGAAGCTAAAGCTCTTGTGGATGAACTGAACAGAAAAGCTGGAGAACAAAGTATATTACTTAAAACTAAGCAAGATGAAGCAGATGCTGCCCTTCAAGAGATTACTGTATCAATGCAGGATGCTAGTGAGCAAAAAACAGAACTTGAAAGACTAAAGCACAGAATAGCAGAAGTTGTTAAAATTGAAGAAAGAAAAAATAAAATTGATGATGAATTTAAAAAAGTACAGCCTCTAGTCAATGAAGCTAAACTAGCAGTTGGAAACATCAAGCCAGAATCTCTTTCAGAAATTCGCTCATTACGCATGCCACCTAATATAATGAGAGACATTCTTGAAGGAGTTTTTGAAGTTCTTGAAGAACTTAGAGAGAACTTACTCCTTAGAGTTATGGACTCCTTAGAACTTACCAGTAAGAAAATAAATTTTAGCTATATTTAAAAATATTTATTGTGATGATTTTAAGGTTTATTTAAATTTGAAGAAAAGTACTTTAACACTCATATTTTGCTACTTGAATTTCAGTTTAGCCTATATGTCATCTTAGCAAGTCCATGGTCTCCTGAGAGATCTAAAATCACAGGCTAATGGAAAGTTTACTGGCCAAGAATAAGGAATCTAATATGAGCTTCACAGTTTGCTCTTAAAAACCAAGAACTTGAGGAAAATAATTCTTTTCAAATTTCCTATTGTCTTATAGCAATATTATATTTCAAAGTATAGTTTTTGAAGTCTACACAGAATTATTCTATTTTCTATTTATTTCATATCCGTATAAAGTCTCTCATTAAAAGCTTTACCTTAAGATGTGTGTGTTCAAAAGGATTGCAGATCAGAATAATAAAAGTCAATGATGTATTTACAGTACTGATATTTTCATAGAAATATAGTAATAGAGGGTATTTTCCAAATCAGTGGTTAAATGTCCACTATTTAATAGGAATGACTCAAAATATTAAACCAAATGTTTGATTTGGAGGATCACTTGAGGTCAGGAGTTTGAGACCGGCCTGAGCAAAGCGGGACTCTGTCCTACAAAAAATAGGAAAATCAGCCAAGTGTGGTGGCACACGCTATAGTCCCAGCTACTCAGGAGGCTGAGGCAGGAGGATCTCTTGAGCCCAGGAGTTTGAGTTTACAGTGAGCTATGATGACTATAATGACGCCACTGTCCTCTAGCCTGGGCAACAGAGCAAGGCTGTATCTCAAAAAAAAAAAACAAAAACAACAACAACAAAGGTTACACCTCTTAGACCTCTTCTGTTACTGCTTTTCCAATTGAAAATTATTTAATTTATGTTGTTTAAATGAGCTTTTGAAAACCATGATGTTCACAACAAAGGATAATACCTTTGACCTAAAAGGATGTATAAGGAACAGAATTCCAACTTGAATTTTAAATTTGAAGCTTTTGCCCAAACTTACATTTCCATTAAAAATAGCATAAAATAGGCCAGGTGTAGTGGCTCACACCTGTAATCCTAGCATTTCAGGAGGCCCAGGTGGGAGGATCGCTTGAGGCCAGGAGTTTGCGACCAGTCTGGGCAACATTACAAGACCCCGTCTCTACAAAAATAAAAAAAGTAGCTGGGCATTGTGGCACCCACCTGTAGTCCCAGCTTCTTGGGAGGCTGAGGCAGAAGGATCACTTGAGTCCAAGAGCTGAGGTTTCAGTGAGCTATGATGACCCCACTGTACTTTAGCCTGGGCAACAGAGTGAGATCCTATCTCAGAAAAAAAAAATAAATAAATAAAGAGAAAAGGCATAAAATAAACAAATATGGAATTTATGGGAATTATAAAAAATGTTCTTGACATACATACTGCAATGTAAGGAATTGAACTGACTATTCATATAACTTCAATGAATATGACATTGGAGCTTTGCTTTACGAGAGGAATTAAGGGAAGAGTCTATGTTAAATGAGCTGAAAATAGTAGTCCTATTACATGATTAACAATATCAAGGAAGAAATTTGGGTTTGCTTTATGACTTTCACTATTAACATTCTAGTCTAGAAAAGTATGACCTTCAAACCATGAGTATATTTATAGGAACTTATTGTGAGCTTGCTATTTAGCTTTAAAGGCCATTTTTATTAACATAAAAATTAGAATTTTTATATTCGTTTTGTTCTTTTGTCTTTTTTCTTTTTACTTAGCTTCCATTGAAGATTGACATCATTAAACATCCAAATGAAACAGATGGCAAAAGTACTGCTATACATGCAAAACTCTTAGCTCCTGAATTTGTAAATATTTACACGTATCCTTGTATTCCAGAATATGAAGAAAAGGACCATGAAGTAAGCAGCTTATTTTTTATAACTCTTCACATTGAATATGAAAATGAATTTAAACTCCATTGCCTTTTTGAACTTACTTGAACATAATTTAATGTTTTTCTTAATAACCTAGTGTTATGCTAATAATGTAGCATTAAACAGTATACAGTTTACTTCATTAATGTCTTCAGAGGGCAGATGATCTTAGTGAGCAATGCTTTTTTGAGTATTTCTGCTCTTTATAGTTTTTCTGCCTTATTTCTTCAGATTTTTACTCTGCCAATATTATTATACTATGCCTGCTTTTACTTTCTCTCCTCTCCATTCTCCTGTCTGTGCTACATGTAGATGGTCTAATTTGATGCAAACTGGGAAACCAGATAACAAATGTTGGACTTCCTTTAAAAGAGGAAAAGAAAGATTAAGAATTTCTTTAAAAGAGGAAAAGAAAGATTAAATTAGAAGGATTTTCAGGAATTCTCCCTGAATTAAGAGCTTTAGTGTGTAGTGTTTGTACTATGTGTTTTGACTGCTCAGAGGCTTTCTTTACTCATTTTTAGATTCTTCATTGGTTTTCACATAGTTGAGATTATCACATTTGTCAGATATTAGTGATCTTGCTGAAAAGCAATTTTATAATAGATCTCAAAAAATTAGGCCTTGCATACTTCTGAAAGAAAGCATGAAAGCATGTAAGGCTTTCTAGGCCTCTTGGGGGCCATTTGTTGGTGCGGTTAATCTAGAAACAAAGTTAAAAATCGATACATTTACGTGTTCCAGAAAGAACTTAGTAAGTTTTTACTTTCCTTCCTTCCTATCTATTTTTGTTGAGTTTAATATAGAAAGTTGTATTTGTAAGTAATGTTTGAGTTTTATATTTAGGAATGTATCTGTATGTTTCCTTCTCTGTTCAGCTAGATACCATTTATACTGATTAAATGGGACATAGTGCTAGGTTCTATAAGGAGATATGATATGCTTATAAGCCAAGAAAATTAAGAAACCCTGGACTTTACTAATTGAGTATACGGGGAAATACAGGCATGCACTGTTAATGTTTGAAAACTTTTATAACTTTGAAATTTATAACTTCAAGATTTTTTGTTTCCTGATTTTATTATGATTTTGTTTTCATAATGTTTACCTTTTTTCATATTAAAAATGTACATGCTCCTTGAAGAAAATTTGGGAAGTGGAGAAAAGTATGAGAATAAAATACCCATGATTCTACCAACATTTGTTCATTTAACACATATTTATGTAGTGCCTGCTTTGTGCCAGGAGTTGTTCAGACATTGGAGGCTCTAATCGTACAAGATCTTAGTAAAAATATGCTGAAAGAAAGGAAGTACCATAAGTACATTTTTCACTCTAGTAAATATACTTTAGCAAGTATTCTTGGGTATTGTGAGTGTGTTTCGGATTATTTTATTAAGATAAATTCTGCTAATGAAGTCATTGGGCCAAAGGGTATGAACATTTTAAGACTCTTGATGTAAGTTGCCCAATGCTTTTATGGAGAGTTTAATCCTGCCATCAGTAATAGCTATAAAGGCCTATGATACCATTTCCTCACCAGCATTCACTATATCATTTGTTTTATCTTTGTTTATTTTATAGGTGAAAATGGTATGTAATCACTGAGTAGTTTTCAGTGGTTCTTTTACAAAGTTTCGTGTACTTTGCCCTTTATCTTATGAAAAATTACATAATTTAGTTTTTTACTTCAAGTATGATTAACGTGGGCTCTATCAATCAGTGAATAACTTATTTTGAAGTAATACTTTTAGATAGTATATTATGATTATAAATTATTAGGAAAGAGCCAAAAACTTTCATATACATTAAGGAAACATATATAGTATAACCAACCTAATGCTTGTTTCTCAGTTATTCAACATATTTTTTTCCCTAAAGTTTGAAGTGGATCAAAATTTATTTATTTTTAAGATCATAGTATTATACTGCTAACTCAAGTTTCTTTGCATTAGGTTGCACTTGTTTTTCCTGGACCTCAGTCTGTCTCAATAAAAGATATTTCTTTTCATCTGCAAAAAAGGATTCAAAATAATGTTAGAGGCAAAAATGATGACCCTGACATGCCATCTTTTAAACGCAAGAAAACTGAAGAACAGGAAGGCTGTGACTTGAATGACAGCAAATGCAAAGGCACACCACTGAAAAGAATTATATTTATAGATAGCACCTGGAACCAAACAAACAAAATATTCACTGATGAGCGACTTCAAGGTAAGAAAAAAGGATGTTTTTTGGATGGCTCCTCCTTCCCACCTTCTATTTGGAAAAACTTTATAAAGAAAAATTGCATTGAATACTTGTAAATTTTGCCACATTTGTTTTATTTCTCTTTCTCTATTATATGTTTATGTATGTATTTATATATTATATATATTTTTGATTGAACCATTTGAACAGAAGTTGCAGGCTTTGCAACACTTCATCCTTAAGTACTTAGGTATACCTCATGTAAGAATAAGGATATCTTCCTATATTAGTAGAGAAAGTGACTTCTCTGTTATAAAAATCATAATAGTGAACACATTTACCAAGAAGTTGAGCCTGTCTTTGGGGTTTTTTTTGTTGTTGTTGCTATTGTTGTTATTTTTGTGTTTTTGGTTTTTGCCTTGTATGTTAATTATTCCTCAGTGATTCCAGTTTTATTTAGGAATAACTAACATACAATAAACTGTACATGTTTAGAGAGTATAATTTCAAAAGTTTTCACATATATATACAGCCATGGGATCATCACTACAATTAAGATAATGAACCTATCCAAAACCCTCCAAAGTTTCCTCCTGACCTTTATGATCTTTCTCATCCAACTTTTTCCTCACAATATACTCCTATACTCTCCAGTTTCATCTCCAGTCAATCACTGATCTTTATCTGACCATTGCAGATTAGATGCATTTTCTGGAATATTATATAAATTGAATCATACACGTATGTACTCTTTGGAGTTTTTTTTTGGTCTGGCTTTCTCACATAAAATAATTAACTTGGTACTCATCCTTATGATAGCATGTATCATTAGGTCATTCCATTTATTGCTGAGTAGTATTTCATTGTTTAGATGTGCTACAAGTAGTGTATCTTTTTAACCTGTTGATGGACATTTGGGTTGTTTTCAGTTTCCTGCTATTTTAAATGAAGTTGCTATGGAAACTTTCTAAAAAAAGAAAAGGATATTCTCCTGCATATTAAATATAAAACCATCATCATCATCACTCCTAATAAAATTAACAAAAATTCCATATCATCTAATGTCCATATTCAAATTTCCCTAATATACCCAAAAATATCTTTTGTAGCTTTTTCCCACTGATGCAGCATGTAAATGGCTTACATTTTATTTGGTTATTATGTATCTTTAGTCTCTTTTAATTTAGAACAGTCCCCTATTTTTTTCATGACTTAGACTTTTGTGAAGAGGACTGGTCAATTTTCTGAATGTTTCATCCTGATTAGGTTCAGTTTAAATATTTTTTTGTCTAGGATACTTATAGGTAAGGATAAATCCAGGGTTGTCTATGACAATTCCATATGTCTATTGTTTTGGTATAATTATTAACAGCATGTCCTTTTACTCTCAGAAATGAACCTGTTTAGTTGATAAATCTTATTAGTTAACCAGTTTATAGGTGAAGTTGTATACTTAGTTGCATCCAATCAGGAAGCATATAATACAAGTTGTTCCATTATTTGTGATAACTTTGATTACTTGATTAAAGTGATTGCTAGATCTCTTTACTATAAAAGTTTATTTTTCTCTATGTAATTAGTAGTACTCTGTGGGGTGATAACTTTCAGACTATGGACCATTTCCCAAAAGCTTTTCACCTAGTGGTTTTAGTGTTCATTGATGCTTGCCGACATCAGTGATTACACTGAGAATTGAAAAAATGGTGAAATTTTAATTATATTATTTCTTCTATATTTGTTAGCTGGCATTCTTCTATAAAGAAGAGTTTTTCCTTCTTTCTCCTGTTCCTTTTTTTTCCTCTCTCCACACCCTTTTTTGACATTACTATGATCTTATAGATTTTCTTTTTAACTCAATATGTTATAATCTACAAGAGTCACATTTATTTTTATTTCAGCATATTATGGAGGTATAAATGTTAAGGTTACGTACATTGCCCTTGCCTCCCCTCCCTCCTCGAGTCAGAGCTTCAAATGTGTTCATACCCCAGACAGTGCGCATCACACTTACTATGTATGTAAATAGCCATCCCCTCCACCCCTTCCCACCTGCCCAACACCTAATAAATGTTTTTTGGGTTTTTTTAACTTTTTTTTTTTTTTTTTTTGATGCTTGAATTGTCTCAAAGTTTGCTGGCTAGAAACCTTCAAGTCCTTCATGACATGGCCTCATTAGTCTTTCTGTTTCAACAGAATGTTCATTGGTATGTTTTTCCTACCCTAGACCTGTTACCAGTCATTTTCTAAGGAGCTATAATTCCTTCATAGAAAATGGTAGGAGAAACTAAGATCTTGTAGATTAATTGCTACTTGGATGTCATTGCTTCAGTGACCATAAGAAATATATATCATGAGTTCACATTGATAGTTCCAATTCAGATTTAACATTACAGGGATTTTCTTTCTTTTATTTTCTATATTTGTATCTCTTTTTCCCTTGGAGTTGAAAAGCTTAGTTCATAATAACAATGATTTAAAAGAGTTCCTTTACTTGCCCATGTATAATTAGAATGCAAGAAAGCTACCAAGTTGGTGTTAGGTAGTTGTGAAAATAGTTTTAACCTAAGAGAGCTTCTCCCACGGTAGTATTAAAAATATTCATCACCTAGAAAAGAAACTTTGACACTTTTTGGAGTCTGATTTGTGTTCATTAGTCCTAAGCTAAAGTGAGTGACAACACTGGATTTAACTAGCTTAATTTATATAGTTTGTACCTCTGAGATCACCATCTGTGTTATAATACTAAAATTGCTTTGGCAATCTAATTCTCTGTGTATGCTTTGTGTCTGTGAGAGAGAGAGAGTGAGAGAGGCAGGTATTATAGAGCATAAGGTCTTTAAGAAATTTTGTTGCTAATGTTTAATAGAGAAACAGCTCTCCTCTTTGAGAGAGAGAGAAATAGCACTATCTGCCACATTCCCTTGGATGTTTACAGCAGCAAGTTATATGTTTGAAGATGATTTTCTTAACCATTTTTCTTTATAATTACTTTATATGATAATTGAAAAATTCAAATGAAAGAATGGAAGTGAAAATGCTTTAAAAAACAATAAAAAGAATTATTATGGTGCTATTCAAAATCTGTTTTCAGAGTGTCCACATTTGTGCTTTATGCTTGCCTAAAATCAGGTTTGTACAGAAGATTCCTGTTATTCCTTCCCAATTCACATAGAAAGTATTATATATTTCAGTTCTATGCTAGACCAAAAATTTTGAAAGGGGTTTCTTAATCCCTTTAAAATCTTGGAATGAATTTCTAGAGGAAGGCTTTTCTATATGTCCTATTTCAACCTCTGCCCCTTGTGGCTCCTCATTGCATCACAGGGAATAATTGGGGCTCTATGCATATTTATAACCTCTGTTTATGTGAAATACTCGTGTCTGGATGAGCCAAGTTACTTCCACAAGAAGCAGTCTTATAAATCATTGGCTTTAAAACATTTTATCATTTGATGGGAGTAAGCTGAACAAACTAAGTCTAAACCTCAGCTTAAACCCTCAAATGTAATGTATTGGAAATTAGGTTTCCGTTTTCTTATCATAAATGCTGAGGTAAAAATCCCCCTTAACTACAAAAACTATACTGTTTTGCCATATTTCACAAAGAAATAGCTCTGAATGTTTTACCAACGTCAAACTAAAACATTTGAAGTTTAATTATAATTATAAAAGGTAATTTAATTATAAAAGGTAAACCTATAAGTGAAGAGTGATATTAACATTCTTGAAGATTCACCATAGGAAGCCTTGGGGAGAATGTGGGATAAAGGATGGTTTCTTTTTGTTGGCAGGGAGTTCAAATTATTTTACATGGCATCGTACTCTAATTTGTTATAAAAATGAGCCAGTTCTTTTCCTTCATTTTGACTGTATTGATACAACTTTTAAAGTGTTAACTTTGTTTGTATTATAAGCATTGCCTAAGCTATACTCACTGTGTCAGTGAATGCTGTGTCATATACTACTTAATTCAATACTGACATCAAATATATGAGGGTAGGTTAAGAATTTCATTCTCATTTTGCAGTTGAGTAAATTCAGGAAACAATTTTGAAGGGAAAAGCCATTTGGAATTACCTACTCTTAAGTTTTTACTACTAAAAAATATTACTAAATTTATCATAAAGTTATTGGTTGCTGTAAATACTAATAGGAGAAAATTATGTGTTTATTATTCTTTTACTTTTTTTGAATATAAAGTTATATATATATCTGTTTTCATAAACAATATATTATTTAGTTTTGCTTTCTTTGGACCTGTGTGTTGTGTTCTCGTGACTTGCTCTCTAAAGTCACCATTTTGTTTCTAAGGTTTATCCATATTGTCATATCATTGTAGCTATAGTTTATTCATTTTCACTGCTGTATAATAACTGACTGCAAATATATTACACTTTATTTAGTCTTCTGTTAATGAAACACTTGGATTATTTCCAGTTTTTACTATTACAAGAATGCTACTATAGACATTCTTGTACATGTGCAAGCTCCTCTAGGAAACATGCCTAGGAGTGGAATTGTTGGGTTGAGTATGAGAATGTTTGAGATAATGGCAAATTGTTTTCCAAAGTGGGTATACAAAGTTATACTCTCATCATTAATGTATAAAAATTCCATTGATTCATAATCCCTGTTACCTTGGCATTGTCAAATATCTGATTTTTGCCAATCCAGTATGTAAAGTGGTATGTCATTATGGTTTTCATTTGCTCTTCTCTAATTACTAATTGGATTAGGCATCATTTTGTTTGTTTATTTGGCCATATACATGTCCTATTATGTGAAATACCTATGCCAATTTTTCTAGTGTTTTATTTTTTTCTTATGGATTTATAGAAATTCCTTATGTAATATAGAATATAGATAATGTTTTAAAATATCTTCTTGAAGTTTGTGGCTCATCTTTTTAATTTCTTTATTAGATCATTGACTATGAAATGTCTGATTTTGAATCAAAAGTTTTTTTTATTATACCTCAAACAAGAAGCAGTGCAATTAATCAAAGTATGCGCCTAAACTGTCAACACAGTTTTGCCATCTTAACGGTAGCTTGTTTATGCCAGCAGTAAAGAAGCCTTGAATGGCAAGTGGTGATGAAATCTCCAAAGGTGTTTTCCTTGTTGATAATAAAATATTTTTTCCATGCAAAAAGTGGTCCAAATCCTGGAAGAAGTGGTAGTTAGTTGGTGTAAGATCTGATGAATATAGTGGATGACAGAGAATTTCCAAGTCCAGCTGCTGTAGTTTGAGCAGTGTTGTTTGTGTGACATGTGGTTGAGTGTTGCCTTACAAGAGGATTGGCATGTCTCTGTTGGCCAATCTCAGGTGCTTAATCATAAGCATCCTCAGATTTTGTCCAATTGGGTGCACTAGACATCTGCTGTAACGAATTGACTAGCTTTCATGAAGCTGTAGTGGCTATTACCAGTGCTGGACCACAAAACAGACACTATTATCTTTTTTTGGACTATGTTTCAGCACTTCATCTTTATCCAGCTATTGTGCTGAATGTTTGTGGTTGTCAAAAAGAATCCATTTTTCATCACACATAACGATATAGTGTCGAAATGGTTCACATTTATGTTGTGATGGCAAAGAAAAGCAAGCTTTGAGATGAATTCTCTTCTGACACTAGTTTAATTCGTGCGGCACCCATCTATCCAGTTCTTTACCTTGCTGATTTGTTTCAAATGGTAAAATATTGTTGGAATAGTAATGTCAGACCTTGCTGCTAATTCACACGTAGGTTGAGATGGATTTGCTTCTACCACAGCTTTCAGCTCATCATTATCCACTTTGGTCTCAGGTGGCCCGTGTGGCTCATTTTCAAGATTAAAATCATCAGAACAGAACTTCTCAAATCATTGATGTACTGTGCATTCATTAGCCACATCCTTCCCAAACACTTCGTTGGTATTTTGAGCTGTCTGCACAGCATTGGTTCCAGGATGCAAGTCATATGAAAATAACACAAATTTTTGACTTATCAATATCTATGGGTTCACAAAACTTGCTCAAAATTTTTTTGAAGATATCACACCCCCCCCCCCCCCCCCCCCCCCCCCCCCCCCCCGCCCCCCCACCCCCCCCCCCCCCCGGCATAACTGTGCATTTGGAAGACTGAGGATGTACCATCACAATAAAAATAAAATAAGTGTCAGGGTGAAATGTCAGAAATATCAACTGTCAACTTAGTACTTAAGGAAATTGGACATTTCATACTTAATAACCTAAAATAATAACTTCTGAGGAAAAATATCAATATGTTTAGTACTTTTTATGTCTTCTTTAAATCCTTCTCTGCTCCAAGATAACTATTAATATAATTCTAATAATTAGCTTATAGATTTTTGTACTTTTTAAATAAATAATGTCAATTGTATTTCTTCCTTTCCATTTCTTTCATCTAATTAATTTATTGTTTTTTATTACTGTGTTAACTAAGACCTCCAATGCAATATTGAGTGGAAGCCCTGTGGAGGTCATCCTTCTCCTGTTCTAATCTGATAATTTGTTCTTTTGAATAGCAAGTTTAGTTTATTTATATTTCCTGTATTGATATACTTGAATCTACTTCTACCATCTTAATTTTTATTTCTATTTGTCCTCTTTTTTACCATTTTTTCTTTTCCTGGTTTTTGTTTGGTTGAATAAGTTTTCTTTTTCTTACTCTATTTTTTAACATTTGTATTTCAGTTCTTTTAGAGAATTGTGCACATGTCACTTAAAAAGTTTAAAGCCAGACAATATTTTAATCTCTCCTTTTGTACATTATAAGGACTTAGCACACACAAGCTTCAGTCAATGACTCTTCCTGGTTCACAATGTTATTATTAATATTCATTATTTTTGTTATGTCCTTTATTGTCAGCCCACATATTAGATATTGCTTTTGTTTTATACAGGCACCACGTATTGGATTTGCATAGATGTTCACCATGTCCTTTGCTCAGCATTTTATCTCTTATACATCTTGCTAAAAATATTATACATCTTTCCTTAATTTGTCTATTTGCATATGTTCAGTTTTCTCTTATGTTTTACTCTTTCTTGATGTTATTCCTCTGCGTACACAATTTTAGTGTGGCAGATATTTTCTTTGACACTCCAGTGTATTCAGTATTCTATTGTTGCTAGTGAAAGCCTCTTGTATTCTAATTACCTTTCCTTATATAAATTGTCCCTTCTCAATGGCTTTTTTAAAATCTCTTTATCCATGGTGTTTTGCAGTTACATACTATGTGGGTGGATCTAGTTATTGATTTCTTGTATTCCTCTTGCTTGGATACTTTATTTCATGTTATCTGTGGCTTCTCATCTTTTAAATAATTTCTGGAAAGTCAGAAGCAATATCTCTTTAAATGCTCTCTCTCTCTTCCATTCTCTTAGTTCTGTCCTCTTGGTTTCCTATTAGACATTTGATCTCCATAAATCTCTTATTATCTTAATATTTCTTATTATTCTTTGTCAATATCTGCTACATTTGTGAGGTAGCTTTTAAATAAAAGTGGAGTATAACAGTAGAAATCATTAGTAACTCAGAGGTTCTAATTGGTTGGTGGGCCAATTTGATGCTACCTTCTCCTTTTATTTCTCACTTTAAAATAAAATTTGCAAAAAATAATATGGAAAAATTTAGTGTGAGTCCAAGTAGTGGACTAAGGAGTTAAAAGCATTGGTTTGTATGCTGACATCTGAGTTCATAACAGATGAGAGTACTGTCTGTGATTTCATTAATCATGTCCTCTTTAAATGTATAAGAGCAAGTCATTCTAGCTAGCCTTGTCATGAGTCTGCGTCATAGTTGTGACAGAGGTAAAAGAACATTTGAGGTACTATGTTCATGAAGATATAGCTTAAAAGTGATACTTTAAGTATCACTTAAAAGTAACTTTACCTGTATTTAAAGACCATAAACTTCATTTCTCTCCAGTGAACTTAGAATGACATTTTGAAAGTCAAATCTATGAAGGAAATGAAACCCTTCTGAAAATTGGTGAATTTCATCTTGTCACAGGTTCAGGTTTTAAAAAGACACTGGTAGATAGAAGATAGAAAGAATGAATATCATAAATGTTAACTACTTTTAATATTTTTGTCTAAGACTTAGATGGTAGCTGTCATGTATAAGATTTCATTCTGTGTCTCATGTTGCTTCTGTGTATACCTTAATGCCTTTAAGAAAATATCCTGTTTCAAATTGGGATGGAAGGTATTTATCCTAAAAATTCTTAAGATAATTAAGAGAAATCATTATCATTGTACTATACTCTGTAATTAAGAAGAAAAATAAAAAATATTTATATTTTTCTTTTCTTTCTTTCTTTTTTTTTTTTTTGGCAGGGTTGTTACAAGTTGAATTGAAAACAAGAAAAACTTGCTTTTGGCGCCATCAAAAAGGAAAGCCAGATACTTTCCTTTCCACAATCGAAGCCATTTACTACTTTCTAGTAGACTACCATACTGATATATTAAAAGAGAAATACAAAGGACAATATGACAATCTTTTATTTTTCTATTCTTTTATGTACCAGTTGATAAAGAATGCCAAATGCTCTGGAGATAAGGAAACAAGAAAACTTATCCATTAGTTTTTAACACGCCACCTATGTCTTTTTATTTTGCTAAAGTAATAAAGTTATAATTGTGCTTTGTTTATTCTTAGGAAATAATCATGTATAATGTCTGCAAGACCACTTGAAAAAATTTCAATGTCAGTTATTTTACCTCATGTTTTTTAAAAGGAAGGAAATTGTATCTGTGGGAATTTTACAGAGATAGTGTTGATTGAAAAATTTATCTAAGAAATTACATGCTCAATTTTGGCATATCTCAGTTTTATTACCATATTTTGATATAATATATTTTATCTATGCAATTAAATATAACATATAATGGGGTCAGAATCTTGCTTGCTCAAAAAGAGATGATAAGTGATTTGCTTTGAGGTTAGTGGCAAACATAGGCAGAACTATAATTTTATTTCCAGTCTCTAGGGCTATTTGTTTGAGTCCATACTGCCTGTGATGGATATTTTGTGCTTTTTACATTTGCCCAGCATCTTTTTTTAGGGGAAAATTGTTAACAATCATGTGATCCTGCCTTAGGGGTGAACATATAACATAGGCTAGCAAGTTAAGTGCCCTGACATGCCCTAAAACACAGTGCTTATCCATGACCAACAACACCAGGGTCTTTTTTGATAAGTGATGTAGATGCTGTAGGAGATGAGGTTTACTTTTCAAAAGACAGTACGGTACAGTTGTTAAAAGCACAACTCTGTGAGTATACTATCTGAATCTAAATCTCAGCTTTTTCTTTTCCTTCTGATCAGCCATATGGCAGTTTCTTCCATCTGTAAAGAGTGAGTGATACAGTTGCTACCTTATAGGATTAACGGAGTTAATATATGTAAGGGGCTTTCAACAGTACCTGGAATATAGTAAGTGCTATATATATGTTTATTCTTTTTATTATTATATTTGTAATTGCTAACTAAGAATCATTTAAGCCTGGAGCTGCTGTTGGCTATCTGTGCTGCCAGGTAAAGAGAGTCTACCTTTACCTTTAGAATGAAGCCAGCCACCAGAGGAAAGCAGAGTGGAGAGAGAAAGAGAGACTCAGTCCTGATGACACCATTTAACCACTTAGATCTAGCTACTTGTGAATGGAGCTTTACTGTGTTGAATAGCTTCTGCTTGCTCCTCCATTCTTTTCTATTCTGTTCTCTGCTCTGTGAGATAGGTTCTCTTGCCTTGGCTTTTGGTTGGGTTCAGCATATGGGAAACACCAGTGAGAGATGGGAAGTTGAGAGGAAAATGAAATGGCATTTTTATTTCCCTGGCTGATTTCCTGCCTGGTCACCATGGGTTGGTTGTGTCCCTCTACTAAATGCCACTCTATCCCTTTTTTCCCCAAGCAGTTATCCTAGTTACCCATCTAGGTTTAGATCCCTGCTCCCTGCCTTTATCCCTTTTCACTTAAGGGTAGTAATACCTTACAGTTGTTACTAGCTTCAAGGTAGTTCATTACTCCTGTTGCTTTCCCTAAATCCTGCCCATACCTTTGTAAATACTATAGTTATTTTATTACACTCTTTTCTAATATCCCCATTTTAAGTTGCCTTCTTTTTTTTGTGTGTGTGTGTGGGGGGGAGGGACTCTGACTGACAAATTCACCCATTTGGTTACTAGAAATAACAGCACATTTCCTAAAGTATATTCACTGGGACGAACATGTTTTATGGGGGGGGGAAGAGTTCTTGGTGAAATTAGTTTGTTGCATGTTATATTTCTCTCCCGGGGATTCAAAAGGCACAGCATATTAAAGTTTCTGAAAAGTACTGAAATACATAAACAGTTTGAACATTATATAAGCTAGTATGTCTTAAATGTACTTGAATATGTAATACTTATTAACTTATTAGAAATAGGGCATTTGGATTATTGTAATTTAGAGCAATTGCTGATTATATACATTTGGTAACTGAGGACTAAAGAGGTTAAGTAAATTGCCAATAGGTTGTATAATTAGTTAGTGGCAGAACCTGGTTTAGAATCTGGGACTTCTGATTTGGGTTGGTTTAGTGAGGTCACCATTATATTGTGCTATTCATAAAAAGGAATGTGGATTATATAAGGTTTGAAATTTATTAGCTCCATAGTCTTAGCCAAATAAACTAACTGGTTTGCTTACTTAGCAGTTATTTTACAAGAATGGAGTTAAAATAGATTTCTCATGTTTGGAACTTGGCCCTGAGAAGAGAGGAAGGCTTGAATTGATTTAAGCAGGGCCAAAGTTGAATTTCTCTGGGCTAAATTTGGACTTCTCTGAGCCAAAAATCTATTGCCATTTAACTGGCTCTACAAACCAACAAAACATAAAGTTAAGAGGGAAAAGAAAGAAAGAGAGAAGTAGAGAACAATTTTATCACTCATTTGCCCTTATCTCACAACTGGCATAAGTAAGGTGACCCACATACTTCATAACAGCCTAATTTATAGCTAAGTACAGATAAAACAGCAAGTTCTTCTCAAAAGAATATAGTAATACCTATTAGAACAATGAATTGACTGTAGTTGTCTTGTTTTTCTTTGGTACTACAGTCTATAAAAATGGCCCTACTCACTCTTTCCTGGTTCTTCACTCTTTTATGGTTCTTTTTCAGGTTCCTTTGAAGTACCCCCTCACTCTGATTCTGGGCCACTTGCATTTCCCGAGATCTAGTGTATTTCTCCTTACTCTTAAACTTCTGCTCTTGACATAAGAATAGGCATGTCTGGGTTAGCCTGGAGGATGAGACACTCATGGAGCAGAGCCAGGCTGTACTGGTCACCCTTGTGGAATCCTATCTATATTAGTTGATAGCCAACAAACCTCCAGATATATGAACAATTACAGCCAAGATCAGCAGAGCCACTACTACCCAATATGTGAACAAGGAATGTCTATTGTTATGCCACTGAAGTTTTATAGCTGTTTATTATGGCATTACTGTGGCAATAGATATCCCATCTTTGGAAATAGTATCAGGTACTTCTTCCTCAGCCTCACTGTTTCTTGGGCCCTTGCCCTCTTGCTTTTCCTTAGCTATCACCTTACATAGTGACAAACAACCAGCAGGCTTGTATGATTCTTCTGCTTGAGGTCAACTAGACATATGCTCAGAATCCCTGGCCCATCCCAACACTTCTGGACTGTAGGAACAAGTACCCCATGGCTTCCCCAGTGACTGTTAAAAGAACTAGGTAGTACAATCTGATAGATCAGTGAAGTTAACTGTCTTCAAATCTTGGATTAATGGACTAGAATAAGCTATCAGGTAAATTCCTTGCTTTATCTGAAAAACGGTAGAGACATTGTTTTTCAACCTGCCTGTCAAGAGATGCACCATGTGGCTAAGAAAGTGTGCTTTCATGGCTTTTCATGAGACAGTAGCAAGTGCAATACAGTAATTTATCTATTTGCATTTGCTTTCAAGCCTTGTTAGTCTCATTTCCTTTCTTTACTATTACTAGTCTGGATTGTACAATCTAATAAAGTGGTAGATTTAATTTTTCCTTCAGACTCTCTTTTCTAGGGAAACCAGGCGTTTTAGTCTAGATTTGGCCAAAACAGCCTCATTACAAGTATTAGATGAATAAAGAAGTTTAATAAAGGAGTTAGGATTCATCCACATGTGGGAGATACTGGGAGAGTAAAGATCTGGAAGGCAGCAGCAGCAGGAGAGAATTAGAGAATCAGTAACTAACTAGGTCAGCCTGAAATTCTCAAAGTACCTATGACTTAGTTTGTGGAGACATTTATGTCTTAAGCATATCAAGCTTCTCGTTCCCTTAATCTTTCTGGGAGCCCATTAATTCAGCCTAAAGGTACCCCCTTAATCCCTTCAGAAGTCTTAAAAAGAAGTATGTAGCGACACCCTTTGTTTGATCTTTTCTTTGAGGCCATGTTAATGGCAATCCCCTTGATTTAGTCTTTGTCCTAACACTGTTTAATGATCACATTTTATTTGATAAGAAGCCATTTCATTTTCCACTCCTGCATATGTTAGGTTTTATTATATATTTCTTTGAATTCCATTCACATACCCATCTCCTTATTTTGGGGCTTGTCCCTTTCTTATAGTACCTTATATCTATAGCTAATAGTAGCCTGCATATCTTTTAAAATTCTGCCTCAAAATCTCACTAAATACCATAAGTTCACTAGGTGTATTTTCTGTCTTCCATGTTATTGGAAGCAATAATTTTACCAAATTTTTGTCTCCAATTATTGAAAATTAAAACACCCTGTGAAAAGTTTAGCTAACTACTGAATAAGCCTACCTTGAAGACCACCAGCCAAATCCCCACCCATACATAAGAGCCAAGCATCACTAGACACTTGGTAAAATTATTTAAATAAAAAGGGGAAGAAAAAGGGGGAAAAAATCCAAAAGAAATACACAAGCAGAGAACAAGTGAAAAAACAAACCTAATTGTCTTCAAAAAAAGTATATTGTATTCACAAAACAAAAATGGGATAGTAAGAAAAAGAGCAGGCAATAAATGAAAAAGAAACCCTGGAAATTTGAAAAAAGTGATTGCTGAAATAAAAATTCAATACAAGAGTTGGGAGAGACGTCCAAGATGGCCAATTAGAGACATAGCTTGTCAGACCATCCCTGTGGGAAGGCAGGATAGTGGACAGAGGAAAGGGGAGAAAAGTTGCAGCTCAGGTGTGCGTCATGGAGAGAGAAGTCAGAGATGGCTGGGGACCCCACAGAGAAAATTGTGAAGCCAGGAAAGATATTGGCAAAGATCAAACCCAGAGAGGCTCGGAACTCAGTGAAATGGTAAGGGGGGATTCCCCTCCTTCTTATAAGTGCTGTCGGTGAACAGCAGGACACTAAGTTTACTAAAGGCTTTTCCACCCTCCACAAGCCCAAGCATAGTGGCAAATATGGAATAGCAGGGTGAGCTAGCGAGTCCCAAGAGTTTGGGCAGTCTGTGGGGGTACCCCCTGGGACAGTGCAACAAGAGGCAAGTGCTGGCTTTCTCCCATGCACTTTCTCCCTGGCATCTCCCCCATCCACTGCAACTACAAAGCAATTTGAGCTCTGGCTGACCAGGAGCTGTACACCCCTCCCCCCAATACCCATTACAATTGAGAGTGTAGTTGGAGCAAAGAAGTTCACGAATGGCTGCTTCTGTCCAACAGGCATGAATCTCAGGCTGAAGTCTCATCAGAGTGGGACCCACACTTCTTCCTCCTGAGAGCTTATGGTGGAACAGGGTGTATAGTTTGGGAATTTCTCACATGCCCATGTTTCATGGGGTTCCACACTGGTGGCTCAGATAAGCAAGCCTGTCCCCATGCACCCAACACGAGAGGGGTGCAGGGGGACACAGACAAGAAGTCTGGGAGCTGGACCTAGGTTTCAAGGAAGCCCTCGCAGACATGTCCAATGGAGAGTGTAATGGGGTGCTAAGGAAGGGGGACCTGGAAGTATGCCCATTCCTCCTGCTAGAGAACCACTGTATTAGATAAAGGTGAGGCTTTTGGAGAGGAATAACCATGCCCCTGGTTCCATGGCAACTGAAAGCCTCACATTCATGCTCACCAGATAACTGGGGGTTGCAGCCCTACCCCATACTCATTACAACACAGAGAGCAGCTTGAGCCAAGAAGTTCTCTACTGGCAATTTCTCTCTGGCAGGCACATGCTACAGGCAGAGGTTCCCACAGACAGTGGGGTGCATACCTCTTCCTCCAAAGACTGGTAGTGGAATAGGGGTGCACAATTTTGGAACTCCCAGCTCACCAGCATTGCATGGAGATGCATGCTAATGGGTCAGACAGAGAGACTGGGGGGAGGTTTGAGAGCTGGACTTGGGTGATGAGGGAGCACACATGGACTGAACTGATAGGAGTGTGCTGTGAGGGTCCAAGGAATGGCAATTTGGGGATGTACCCACCCCTCCCTGCAGAAAAACTGAACTACTGGATAAGTGTGGAAAGATCCCATCCTGGGGTCTTAGCACTCAAGCGTTTAGGTCCCTCCCCCATGAATAGCCCTCACAGTTTGGATGGCTAGTCCTGACCCTCATACCAGTGGCTTCCCCTATGGCCAGAAAAGCAACTTTTGAGCCCTACAGAGGCTTTGAAAAGCCTTTCAGGCCCTGCAACCTATCCATGAACTGCCTTCCTCCTCCCTTTACCTCAGTGTTGGTGGAGATCAAGCAACCCCCTGAAAGTTACAGGGTCTCTGCTGAAGCTTGGGGCACCCAAGTACTCCACCAGGGTAACGAGAGTCTGCCATGGACATTAAAGAACATTCCAGTGGCTGACCCTTTCATACAAACATCAACCAATGACAGAACAACTTTATATAACTCATTATAGCATCACCCAACTTAAGCAAACAGGACATGACTGATTTGTATTCATAAGTCCCAACCCCCTTTTTGGAGATTAAGCTGAGGAACCTAACACAATTCATACTGCTGGGAAGAAGTGAAGACAGCAGGACACAGTCAACCCAAGAGGATCACCAAACCTGCCTGAACACCCCATAGTCAGCCTGGGACCAGCACTCTTCTCACAGGCACAGTAATGGATTGATCTTCGG